GTTTACATGTTCTGAGCTGAAGAAAAAATCACATAGGTCAACAAGTCCCGCCTAGAGAAATAAATTCATCTCTCTTCTGGGCTTCCAAAGTGGCTTATTTATGTTTTAATCTAACTCTTATGGCATCAGCAAATTAATCTTACCTGAGCAATAGTGTGTAGTGGTAAATGTTTAATCAACAGCTCTACAAACTAAAGTGAGGAAGGGGAAAAGAAAAGGAACAGAAAGAAAGGAGAGAAAGAAACAGATTCTAACTTGTAGTATTTGCCAATTTCTGTGGCATACATACCGCCATGAGGGCTAATTTCAAGCTACGGATGTCAATGACCAAGGAGTGGAAAGAGGAGCACAATTGGCCAGTACCACCTGGCTCCTGCGGCCAGGAGCAGTGAGCAGGGTGGAAACACATGGGACCAGTTGAGCCGAGGCCCTCACTCACATGGCCAATAAGGGGGAAGGTGGCCTTCCCACACCCTGCAGGAGTCTCCTGGTGCTAAAATCCCCACCTGACCTTCCAGACAGGATTAGCCTGAGGCTGAAGGCAAGAAAAGGGACGTGGGGGTAGAGGAAAAATTATGTTAAAATATAACTGAATCATCTTGATTTATTATGAGTGGCCTTTCAAACTGGTGGGTGTGAATCTTGGAGTGAAACCACTAGATATACTGCAGTAACATATCGATAATGCCTTTTCTTTTCATGAAAAGCTGCTATTTCTAGAAAGCAAAACTCTGGACATGGGAACAGAATACTCTGTTATTCTACAGAGGATTTTAGTGAGCAAAGACCTTTCAAAATCTTGATTACTAGCCTCCTGCTAACAGGACTTAGTCACACCGTTTTGTTTCCATACAAAATATAGAAAACTCTCTTTCCTCATTCACCGTTTCTCTTAAAATTTGCTGAGTAATTTGTTCACGGGACAGTCTAAAATGCTGGCGTATTTCCAAGCAAAATACAACAAAACAACCCAAATTCCCTATTAATTGGATATGAATATTGGGCAGCTATAGTTTTGTGCTTTTTCTTTCCGAGTTCCAACTTTGTGCAGTGAGGATTAAAGGGCTATGCATGCTATAGCACCGACATAGATCCTTCCTGGGCCCAGGCAGTATTTTACTGCAACATACAGCTTTCCTTTCCTCTCTACTTACTTATAGCAGCATGTGCAAGTGGATTTTTGCTTTATTCAATGGGTTATAACCCATTACTATTTTTTATTATGTTTTAAAATATATTTTGATTGATTTCAGAGAGGACAGGAAAGGGAGAGATAGAAACATCAATAATGAGAGGGAATCATTAACTGGCTGCCTCCTGCACACCCCGATTCAGGAGTGAGCCCCCAAACCTGGCATATGGCCTGACTGAGGAATTGAACCACGATCTCCTGGTTCATAGATTGAAGCTCAACCACTGAGCCACGTCGACTGGGCCACTATTACTTATTTTGATGCTCAGATTTCCCAGATTTGGTCAGTGAGGTCCTCTTCAGACTGGATCCTTTGTAACTTGATGAGGCCCCATCCTTCTTCAAGCATTTCCTCCCTTTCTGGAAGAAAATGATGTGGTGGGCTCATCTTGTACTTTCCTGGCCAGGACTAGCAGTAGTCTTCTCTCCAAGGGTGTATTTTTAAAAACTGGTCTTGGATAGTGGTTGCAAGTAATCTATAATTCTCTCTTCTGGCTGGTGAGTCAGCACAAAAGGATTCTCCAGCATTGAGTCACCCTCAGTGAGTCTGCCCCGCAGCTGCATTGTGGTGCGTTAGCCTATCAGCCAGGACGCCCAGCTTCACTTTCCAGTGCAACAAATGGCTCCCCATCTAAGGCCCCGTGGGCTCGGTGAGGAGTACACGTGAGAACTCTCCCAAACACTAAAAGCCATTCTAGGTTACAGAAAATGTAAAGGTGATTTACCTGTTAGGACCGCTTCTCCTGGCGACTTCAAGTTCTGCAGAGTAAGGAAAGGTCCTTCTATTATATTTAACTAACTCCAGGTCTCTAAAATCACAGTCCATTAGGTAACCCCCCGATGAGGCAAATATGGCACAGATTTCACCGAGTCCTTTTTCGTGGAATGTTAAACAGTCCAATAAACTCCTAGGACCACTCTTAAAAATGGATAAAGAGTCTTGATGCTTCCAAAATAATAAATCCAGTTTTCCTATTCCACGCAGCTTTAAATGGGGCTGTGTCTTTTTAAATTTGCATATGATTTGAAAAACATTTCTCAATTCATTTTACCTTAAAGCATTGAGGAAAATGAGGATAGAAACAGAAACTTGTAAAAATACATATTTTAATAACATCAAGTAGTACAGTACAGTTTTATCAAGGTTTTACATTGCATCTTACAACAAACAACTGTCTATTACAGTGACTATTTACAAGTAAAGTAAACTTAAGGTTCTTTCCACCTATGGCTGGATAAACCAAATCTGGTGCATCATACCACATTTAAGGTTGCTTTTCAAGCTGGCTGCTATAAAAGGCCCTTAACATTAATAGCTTTTAACAACAAAAAAGATTCCACCCCCTCCCATAATGATGGCCTGATGAATGCTCAAAATTACAAAAGAGAATCGTAAATACTTGCTTTCCTTTGATGGCTTTGGAAGAATAGCTACCGAGAGCAAATCTGAAATATTAAAGACAAAAAGGGAAACAGCTGTTTCTCTTGTCTAGTGAATCTATAATAAATACTGATTTAAGGCTACAAAGTATGAAAAGAATCCAAAAGATTCTTGTAGGAAAAGGTTTCCTCTTGTTTAAATTTTCATCCCCTGGACTGAAAACTGGCTGAGTCTACTTTAACGTGGTTCATATAAAGGGGAATAGTGGGATTCTTGACACTTCAGGAGAAAATTAGTGAGGGAACTGAAATTAATTAGCAAAGGGGGAAATTAATATTAATCTCAAAATTCTACCTGCCATTGTCTTGGAATGATCAAGACTCAGCTCAATCACAGAAGAGTTAAAAGGAATAGGACTGGAGGAAATCAGGAGCTGTAACTAAAAACCCATGCTTTCTCCTGGCGGCATTTAGAAATTACAGACCTGGACTTACCACTATATATACAGAAACTAGTGTTGGAATTAGGGGGGGAAGGGGGAGGGGAACCACTCACATCCATGGAAGTACCAGAATCATACTCAGGTTTGCAAAGAGGCATACGGATCTGTTTACCATGCAACTAGCTGTTTGTGGAATGTTAAAACAATCCAGTAATGGTTAATGGTTAATAGAACAAAATCCTTATGAACACAGTACTGAACTGAAGTTTAGTAAGTTATACACCCATTAAGCAGCTCAAATTCACAAGGGTAAAGACCCAGTATCCCTGAATTTCTAAGCATTCATCTAATTGCTAACATGGTTTCACCTAAATGTTAGCCCATTCAGAGAGATTTTAAATACTCCCGCTTCTCTAATACATCACCACCATACTTTCAGAGGTGAAAAGTAAACATTTAATTTCTCTACTGCTTTTGCCCATTCTCATGAACCTTATCTAGTGTTATTACAGTGTCTAGGCTAAGGGATGTGCTCTAAGGGATCCAATGAGTTAAATTTCTAGGTTCCAGAATATTGCTGGCACTACACAATAAGCTTGTCAAGCAGAAAACCATGTCTCTGGTTGCAACATATTCCTGGATCAATTTTGATTGAGGAGTTAAGATGAGCTATCAATCAAGTCAGACTGTTACCTAATTGTCAGATAACAGTTTGACCTTCTCTATCAAAATTTCTTAGTGAATGGGACAAGGTCTCCTGCTTTTCATGTATCCTCCAGAGCAGTGGTAGGCCGTGAGGTCTGAACGATTGGCAACTGCGGCTCCAGAGCACCTGCTAACGTGTTGGGCAAAGACATATGTTCAAGGAAGTACTCAGTGATGGGGCAGGAACTGACTCAAGAGTGAATGTGGTCATGGTGAAGCTATACTTCACCCATTACTCAAAAGGTAGTCATGATAGTGAATCTCTGACGTTTGTCACTAAAGAGCAGGTGCTTGTACCCTGCCACTGCCTAAAAGAAAACAAGCCACTTGGGCCTCTATATTTTCTTCCTCTTAGTCACTAAGAGATTATATATGGGCATGAGTACCACTCAGTAGGTGATACCCGTAAAACAAGGTTTTTCTGCCTCAGAGGAAGCACCATTCCATCTCATGGCACATTTTTAACTCCAAGAATATATAATTTATAGAATCATTAACTCTTAAAAGTGTTAAATGTTGCCCATACTAATAAGATTCTTAAAATGTTTGGCTTATTTTCTCTGTATCACTTAAAATATATATATATATATATATTTTTTAAACATTGGAATGAGGTAGAAGGTAAGGAACTCACAAAAGCAAGTAATCTTCAAAATACCGAACTCTATCCGATGCAATTAGCCCCAAGAGAGAACTAAGGAAAGTCACAGCCTTGAGCTGGTAGTCTGACTACTGTAAAGATCTTAATTACCATTACCTGGAGAAATTTCTTATATCTGAGATTGCGTTCTCTCTCTCTCTTTCTTTCCCTCCCTCCCTCCCTCCCTCCCTCCCTCCCTCCCTCCCTCCCTCCCTCCCTCCCTTCCTCCCTCCCTCTCTCTCTCTCCTAGCTTAAGGTATTATAGAAACAGGACAAGAAGACACATTCTGAAATATTTGTAAAGATCACATACAACAGCTTCTCTTAGCCATCATTTTTTACACTGCCATGTTGCTCTAAATCACCTCAATTGAGACATGGGTCCTTTCCACTTGAATTACTGACCAGATATCAATATAGAGGATAAAAATCCTCCTAGCATAAGGAGCAAGATAAAAGAACGATTCACATTTAAAATAGTGTACTTTTCGTAAAACTAGCAGCACTTCATTCTACTAGGACATACAAATTTGGTTTCATAGACTGGTCAGAAACAAAGGAAAATATATATTGGTCCAAAACAGCTCCTTGTACAAGGGAAATGTGAGGCTAAAAGTTTTCTTTAACAACTATCTCGCCACTAGGTGTTGTGTGAAACTACTGGAATGTCGATTTCAATGGCAGAGAGGCGGGAGCGTGCAGAATAGGGCTGTGAGTAAGTGTGCATACTGGGAGGATGGGAGTACAGTGGTTGCCAGAAAGGAGAAGGCAAAGATTTGCATGCACAATACCAAATAAACAGTAGAAGGGAAGTCATAAACAGGCCCCCGGCACTAGCGATTGTGACATACACTGCATAGTCAAATGTAAAGACTGGCTCGAACTTCCTGTTCAGATGGGTGTTGTAAAAGAAGACCCAGATGGACGGGGAGAGGCTCACGATACCTGCCAGGAAAAACAGCAGCCCGGCCACCAGGTGGCAGCCTGCGCTATTGACCAGACACTTGGCCAGCTTGATGTTGGGCACGGAGGGCCTGAAAGCCGTGTTACACATTCCAATCAGGCAGAGCAGCAGGGCACCCATGGCGATCAGGATGCTGAGGGGCAGGGCGAACTGGAGGACCCGCAGGTCCAGCTGGTCAACTGAGGAGTACCAAGTCGTGTCGTACATCAGGCAGTCACTGCTCCCGTCGTATCGGGCACACTTCACCCACAGGCCTGTGTAAACGGTCAGGTTCTTCTCGTTCCTGTTGAATGTGATCAGTCGCAATTTCCTCCAGTTGGGAAGCAGAGTCCCCGCGAAGAGGCCTGCGACCGAGGCGATGCCACACAGGAAGGAGAGCACCGTGGCTGCGTGGACGTCCCGACAGCCCATGGCAGGCAGGCGAGCGCAGTCCTGTCGGCCAGACTGAGGGGTGACACACAGAGGACAAGTCGTGAGGGTACAGCAAGAGCAGAGTAGAAAAGGTGGGGCTGACTGGCAACATAACCAACGATGTCCCTGAGAAGAGGAAATTTTGTCCCTGTAGCCTCTATCTGTATGAAAAATGTTTATGAATGCCTGTGTGTGAGACCTCAGAGCACAGGTGCACACACACACACACACACACACACACTGGGTCATGTAGCAACTAAAGTCTTCAGACATAAGTATTTTCTTCATAGCGAATCACAGGAACAACCAAATTAATTTCAAATTCTCTTAACATCACACCTGAAATTCTCTTGGTTGTCAATAATCATTCAACATACATATTTTAAGTATTTTCATGCACCAGGCACTCACATATATAGGGTCAGGCACTCGGCAACCATCACCTACAAATCACACAGATTCAGTCTCAAATGCTCAGGCAAAATGTGAAACGAGACCAGCACACAGCAGAGGTGAAGGTGGGTCATGAAAGTCGAAGGTGCAGGGAAAGAAGCACTGCAGGACAGCAGGGCAGTTGGGGGCAGATGAGGAGGCGGACTGCTTGGGTTCTCATCCCCACCTCCACACTTACTAGCCGAGGGACCTTGGGTCAGCTACAAACTTCTCTGTGCCTCATTTTTTCTCGTCGGTAAAATGTGAAGAATAACAGAGCCTATCCCACAGACTTGTTCTAAGTATTAATGAGTTCATATAATGTCAAGAGCTTAAAAACAGGTCTGGCACATTCTAAGTGTGAGGCAAATGTTAATTACTTATCAGTGACCAGCTCCAATGCTTAGCATACCAGAGCAAAAGTCTGAAACTCACTCTCCAAACATCACTCAGATATATTCTCTCTGCCTTCTACCATGTCCGCTAACAGGCAACAGAATAGATGACTTTAATAAGGCAGCACATTTAATTCTTTTAGCCAGATCATGACGAAGCGAAAAGGTTGAGAATATTCTTACTTATGTACAGTACAGGTTTAGAGAATCCATCATCCTTTTCAGAGTCAAATATGATCTGCTGAGGTGATGAAGTAACACTTCAGAAGTTCAGAGGTAAGAAAGAGGAGCATGATCAAAATGCTATGAAATTGGGTTAAGACTTGACTAAATGTGTTCAAATGGAAAGCCCAATGCTTTGTAGAAAACAATGCAATCTAGGAATAATTTTAGTAGCAGAAAATATAAGTAAGAGTGTACACATACCTATACACACATAGAAGTATACAAGTCAGAGCTTAAGCACCAGTGACCATTCTTTAAAGTCCTCAAGTTAAACATAATTAGTTCCAAGTTTCTCCGTTAATATTAGTTTACTACTTGTTTATCATGTTGCTTTTGGTCAATATTATCAGAAGTAGCAATTGTTTAAGAAAATGCTATGGATAAATCAAAACAAAGGAATTAATAGTCCTTAGTTTTTTTTTTTATGCAAACTTGGGGGAAAAACTGTCTTGACTAAATTTAGCAAACAACCACCTTGGTCTAGCAATGGAAACTCTGGTGCAGGTTTGAGGATATTTATACTGGAAAAGGTGACTAGACTAATGAAATCAGGGGTCCTTATGTCTTTGAGTAAATTTAGGTGTAAATCCTGCCTCTAGAAACCATCTCTCTCATATATATATATATATATATATATTTATTCACCCCTCAGAGACCTAGCCTTTTCACAGGGCCCGGACCTCCAGCAGGCTAAAGATAACATCTTGAACTAAGTCATATTGCAGCTCCTCCTGAGATTTAAGGTGGAACGACCCTCCCAGCTACTATCCTAAGAACCAGATAAAAGGACACTAGTACAAACCTCAGAACTGTCCTCAAGACCTCACAAAGTGGTTTATTATCCTTAGCTCACTTCCAACCAATCAGCTCCCAGCACAATCCCGAACCTCCTATCCCAGTGGTTGGTGAGCCTCTGTTTGCCGCTCTGTTGACTAATGAGTTTGCCAACCACTGTTAACCCAGGTGTCTTGTGATTTTTGCCCTATATAATCTGTAACCTACAAGCTAATGGGGAGTTTGAGCTTTTGAGCATTAAATTCCCATTCTCCTGGGTGGCATCATTCACAATAAAACAGCCAGTATTTCTCTACTACAATTCTTGGTGTGAAATGTTTAGCTCTGCTAGCACCAGGTGGGCAAAATCTTTTTTCCCCCATTCAATAACACTAATGTCAAGCTCCAGAATTAAGCTTCCTGTTGGTTTTTGCTCATTCACGTCTCGCCCCCCACACTGTAAGCAGCTTGCATAGTGCCTGGCACAAATCATTTGAAGAATATTAGAAGAAAAGAGTATTGGGCCCTGTTCCAAGATCATAGTACCCACAAAGGTAGGCTATCAACAATGAAGAATTAAACAAGGAAGTAGCCATTGCAAAGCAATCATTCACTGAACGGGTATTTACTGAGTATCTAGCATATGCGAAACCGTGTTAGCCCTGTCAGAACACTGCGGCCACTAAGATCTAGATATTGCCCCAGTATGTTAACAGACTTGAGGGAAAGAATATGCTCTTTCATAAAAACTCAAAATACCGATAGTGAATCAGTTGTATGATTACTACATACCAAGCGATTATTGTTAGGTATTAAAGTGAACCAATAAGGTACGTGTTTATAGAAATGTATTACCTAGGATTGGGAAAAGACTGAGCAATGAAAGACAATGATGATTTGATCAAAGTTGTGAAGACATATGGAAAAGGATCCCTCTGTTTCTTTCAAAGCTTTAGAACTCCTTCAGATAACTTAGTCCAGTGGTCGACAAACTGTGGATCTCGAGCCACATATGGCTCTTTGGCCCCTAGAGTGTGGCTCTTCCACAAAATACCACGGCCTGGGCGAGTCTATTTTGAAGAAGTGCGTTAGAAGTTTAAGTTTAAAATATTTGGCTTGCAAAAGAAATTTCAGTCGTCATACTGTTGATATTTGGCTCTGTTGACTAATGAGTTTGCCTACCACTGACCTAGTCAGAGTCCTAACCCAATCACAATTTCTTGCTTTCAGAGGTAGGGTTCAGATACTTGGAGTATCAATGTTAACTGAGATTTCTCCAAATTGCCCTGTACCACTGGTTCCTACAATGCAAATGAAATGAGAAACAAGGTCAGGAAGAATGAATTTATTATTAATAAATAAATTCCTGTATTTCTTAGTGTAGAGATTATCAAATTACGCTAATGAAGAGAGATGAGTCAGTATTTATTTCAGTATCAAGTGTGTTCAAATGTATTCTGTGTCAAATCAATACAAGTGATATACCAGTCCCCTAAACTTGCTTTTGCTGAAGCATTCCTAGCTATAATCATAGAGATTATCTAAAAGTCCTATGTACAAAGCCAAGAAGGATACAGCATTTTGCAGAGGGAAAATACTATTAACCTCAATTCTTTAGCTGAATTTCAACCTCAGTGCTGGAATTAATGTCCTTGCTCTTTGGCCACTTTACCTTTTATGCCATTCTTAACTCCATGTATATATGATTTGATGTATATCCCACTAGATGGATAAAGTAACTTTTTATAGGGATAGTTGGGAGAAGGAATGTGTTTAGTGATTTAAAATGGAAAGATAATGCTGACTCTCAGGTGAAGATTTGTTTGTACTGAGGGAAAAAGATCCCCACTTTTGTACTGTGCACCAACTAATTTTGAATCAAGAATAATTTTTTTTTCAGCCGAAACTGGTTTGGCTCAGTAGATAGAGCATTGGTCTGTGGACTGAAGGGTCCCAGGTTCGATTCCGGTCAAGGGCATGTACATTGGTTGCGGTGGGGGGTACGCAGGAGGCAGCTAGTCGATGTTTCTTTCTCATCGATGTTTCTAGCTCTCTATCCCTCTCCCTTCCTCTCTGTGAAAAACCAATAAAATATTTTTTAAATAATTTTTTTTCAAATGCAAATCAGATAATTTCATTAGATTTCTTACTGTTCAGATACTTCCTATTTCACTTAGAATAAAATTAAGTTTTCAAATTCCACCATCTGGTTCCTGACAAATTCTCAATCTCCTCAAGTGTCACTCTCCCACCTTACACACTACCTTTTTTTTCATCTATATAGCTATACTGTTTTTCTTTTCACTTCTCAAATTTTCCACTTTTTAATTTGGCTAAGGTCTTTCCCTCATGCTATTCTTTCTCCTAGAGCTTCCTTAATCTCACCCTATTCTTTGCTTAGTTTCCTGGCCCTAACCCTAGCCTCCCTCCCTTACCTTCAATCTTCCCCATGGCCCTGGTCAGAAGCTCTGGAAGCACCTTTGTACATTTTCTTTAATAAGCAACTGTGCTTATTAATTTCTTGTTCAGTATTTATTTTTCCCCACAGACTGTGAATTCTAGGAGGACAGAGAGCCTTCTGTTTTATTCGCTGTGTCTAACACTGGCTCACAGAAAATTATTGTAACATGAATGAACAAACAAATAAATGAAAGGTCCATCTGAGTATGGTCAGGATACAGAGAAATTATGAATTTGCTCTATTAACAACAACCCCACTCATTCATACCTTGTGTTCTGAAGCCTCCAAGCTGCTTCTAGACGTGTTCTTGCTTTTCACTCTTTATTGGTAAAGTCTCTCTCATTTTTTAAAAAAACAAACGTTCATTTTCTTCCCCTAGAAACTTCCCAAGCAAAATGAGACCATTCCCAGGTATATACATATAAACTATGCTCCTATAAATACCTAAGTTTGACAAACACTGATTAACTTATACAGTGGTTTGGAGTCAGAGAATGATGACTGTGTGTGTCGTTTATGTTTTCAACTTAATAAGTATGTTACACATTGGATATACTCCTCTTCATTAAGAGTGGTTAATATGTCAAATTAATGTTTGCTTATCAAAGCTAAATAATTATTATATTTGTATTTAATATTTTCTTTTTAAAACAGCAATGGGGGGGTGGGGAGAGGAGAGTAAACCTCTTTTTGCCATATGAAAAGCCCTAATT